AAATGATTGCATACCCAAAAAGGAATACGAAGGACTTACCTCCATATTTGTTCTACCTTTTTTCTATACAGAAAGGGCAAAACTTAGAAGTTGAGATGAACAAGAAACAATTGAAAGTTGTGCAATGCATCCCGTTTGGATATTTTCTTGATTGTCCAAAAATGAAGCTATTTTGTCATCGGTTGTGGGGAATCGTCAATATGTTTTACATTGAATCCCGATCATTTAGAATCGGAAAGGAATTGAATTAAACTTTCTCTTGAAGAATTCTCTAAAGTACTTAGATTATATATAATTGTGGATAGTGCATCATTGTACGTAGTAATTGTATTATAATATTTTTATTATATTAATTAATTTTTTTATGTACCCCTCTACATAGTATAAACAAAAATTTTCGGTAGTACATCAATCTTGAATAGAAACTAGAAAGTAAAGGCAAGAACTTCGTATCTTGAATAGAAACTAGAAAGTAAAAGCAAGAATTTCGTATGATTTGTATGTTATTTGTTATGAATTAGGGAATAGCTGAGATTTGTAGCAGTGATTACCAAATTGGGATACTTGGCCGTTTGATCATCCTAGATTTGTAATTGCATTTTGGTAATGTATACGTCGGTATACATAATAGTATTCCAAAATTTCTAATATGTACTCATGTTCATAAGTTGTACATACGGATCACGTGAGCATATATACAAGAAGAAAATATGTACCTACATAAGTAATTAATATAGTTTGATTTGCAAAATTTCATTGTTGAGTGTCGAGAAACCCTTAAGTTTAAGTAACATACCTTCAATGATGATATATGTTCTTTTATCTTACTAAATTACATACTTCTGAATTGATTGAATGTACTCATACTGAAAAATAATCTTTATAAATAACTTTATACATATTCTAAGTATTATGAGAATATATGTACTCACAAATTTGTTTTGAAAACACTAGTAGACACATTCAATGTATACATTAATAACTAATATGTTCTTCATATTTTGAGAAGGTACAATATGTCACATGCGTAAGATTACTTCATATATCTTTTAACATATTTCTTCTTGTTGAAAGTTTCTTCCCACTTTCAAAAATGCTTGCACAGACAATCATAATATAAATAATATCATACATCATCAGTTATATATTAACTCCAAAATATCTCTTACTATAGTTCACTACATGATATGTTGTGTCATACTTATCTTAAGTGATATTCTCATTCATCCTTGAATACATAGTTAGGTAATCCCATAGGTCGTTTCAGATTGTTTCAATAGTATTGGTTGATAGACATCAATATTCAACGAAATGACAATGATATATTCAACTCATAGTCGTCCATCTAATCTAGCTAAAATTAATAAAATATTTTCGATAGACACTTAAATACCCGTGTTTATCAAGTTAATACCCACGTGGGAATATAAATACTTTTATACGCAACGACAATGTCTGTTTATTAGACAAGCACACCTCTGATCATATTTAATATACCCTAAGTATGTAAATTCATACTCTTAAAACCATTGTCATAACTTCATTTAAATGTTTAAATACTCATCAATACATTTTATGTTAATGTTAATTCAGGTAAACGAGTGGAGTTTTCTATTGGTCATGAAATACCAATACGATTACATGAGGGACAAAAAGGATACCAAACGCCATTTGGATTTTATAATCAAATATCCATGTAAAATGAAATATAGTCATGATTATATTTCATATACCCATAATAACTTTTAATATATTGCAGTGATTATTTCACATACGTTTTATTTTTTTGCAATATGGAAATTTTATTTTGGACTGTAAAATATCTTGTAAATATATCAATATCCCACAATTTACCACAAATATACTCATGTAAAAGAGTTGTATATACCTGGTAAAAATACAAGTAAATATTGTATAATTTTAAAATCATTAAATAGTGAATTTGTACAAAGATTTGTGTTTAGTATACAATTTATGAAAAATAAAATGACTGTCAATTTTCTTTCTTGTTTTAAGAATAATTTTCCTCCCATTTTCAGCAAAATTATTTTTAATTCTCATCATTTTGGACAAACAACGTCGTGCGGCAATAAGATTTTAATACTATCAAATATACAGGTATATGAAAAAAATACGAGGGTTCATCGATGATTGGTCATAATATACTTCAACAATACCAAGGTATTTGCAAACAAAAGGAATTATAATATCATATAACATGGGTATATGATTACAAGGATACTATATCAAAAATAAAGTGCTTGTGCCATTATCGATAAATGTTTTGTTGTTTTATTCCACTGCCACGGGTTTAGTCCACCTAGAGATGACCATTCCATCTTGTTCATTCTTTTATCATGAATCGATAAACTTTATGGAAAAAACCTGGTAAAATAAAATAGAAAGTAATTAGCAAAAGAAAATTTGAATAAAACCCAAATTAATATTGAATTGAGACAAAAGTGAAATTAATCTAAAAGTATATATCAAAGATTAAAGGCTAAAATAAGATACGCATGGTAAGAAAGTACAAATATATTATACACACACTTGGGTGTGAAAGTTGTCAATTAAGTGCCAAAAATAGTATGTGTGGTGGCCGGTGGGCTCTGGAAAATATGGTAGAAATGGACTTTAGGAGTCCCAAGTGCCTATTCGAAAAAAATATATATATATACTATTTCCAATCAATACGACTGTCAACATGACATACCCCAACTTCTAGCAAACATATTACTAATTTTTATTATTTTAAGTGGAAACCGTTTGTAGTAATAAGATTTTAATATTATCAAATATAAAGTACATGAAAAAAATAGTAAAATACATCGATGATTGGTCATAGTATACTTCAACAATACCAAGGTATTTGCAAACAAAAATAGCATACAATATTAGATAACACGAGTATAGAATTTATAAATGTAAGGATACTACCCCAGAAAAAATATTTCATAGGAATTTCTGTTGATACTAGCATAAAATCACAACAACACCCATTAAGATTTTCCCTTATACATAATTTTCTACAAAATAATCACATTGAATGTAAAATTAGCAACTATTGCAATCAAAATCTCGTAACGTTACAACGATCTTCAAAGCATTAAGAAAATACTTACCGGAAGATGCTAAAGCAAACGCACCCTCGTTGCCATCAATTTCTACAGCAATAGATACACATCCTTTATATTTGTTTTTCGAATTTTTCCAAATACAAATACTTACCGTAAGCAAACGCTCGCCAATGATGGAGGACTCGACTTCACCACTCCATTCACTACCATGGGTCGCCACCAAAATTTTATCGAAATCAATAGCCTATTACCAGTTTGGATCACCAGAAATACGATGATGTAAAGTCTTTCTTTTACGCAGAAAGAAACCGAATCAATTCCAATCAATTGTAAAGTTGAAAGAAGGGTATAAAAGGAATTAGGGATTTAGGGTTATATAAGGGTATAAATGGAAATGAGTGAAAGGTAAGGAGCAAATTTCAATCATTTTCATAAAGGATGGAGTGCAGTGTGCTAATATTATAAATGTGGACTGAATTTAAATGTAAAAAATAGGATGGGTATTTAAATCCAATTGTAAAATGGGATTTTTTTAATTTTATTTTAATTTAAAAATTAAGTAAAAATTATTTTAAAATTGTATTTTAATTTATCTATTTTATCTTTTTTGCTTTTTATTTTATTGTTTATATAAAGTAAATTATTTTTTTATATTTATGTATTAATTTTATAATTAATATTATTTTTTATTTTTTATTTATTATTTATTATATTTAATTAAATAATATTATATTTTTTTATTTTGCATAAATATTATTTAATAACATTAAAATTTTAATTTATTTAATTTAAAAATATTTATTATTTTTAAGATCAAATAATAATAAAACTTAATTTATTTTATTAATATAATATTTAAAATACTTTTAAAATTTAATATATAAAAGTAATAAAATATTTGATGTTATTTATAAATTTAAAAAATTATAATATATATAATACTCCATCCATTCACTTAATAAGTTTACATTCACTTTACATTTTGAGTCATTGTATTTAACATTATAAATATATTTATATTTGTATAATTTAAACCTCATTATATTAGTGTTACAGGACACCAAATAAGTATTTTTGTGTACTAATTTTGATATAATAATTAATATTGAAAATCAACACCCAAAAATCAAATGTAAACTTTCAAAAAGTGGACAAAGTGAGTAAAATACAGAGAAAATATTATTTGACATTGCAAAAATAGAGTTTATGATTGTAATTTGCAAGAATAGAGGATATGGTTGCAGATGATTAACTCTGTCACCTCCTGCAAAAATGGAGAAATTTGGAATAGTCTGACAAAAATAGAGGTATAATTTGGCGATTATCTAATACTACATAAAAATATTTATTTATTGACGAAAGAAATTAAAAGTAAAACGAAACTTTGATCTCATGAGGTTTAAAATTTAATTTAATTAAATTAAATTGTATTTATTAAGTATATATTTAAAATTATTAAATACAGTGATAGTGATAGTGATGTGCAGTTAGTTAGGTTTCACAATTACAATTACTAATCTGCTGGTTTAGTTGCGGGGAAGCCAAATTTAGGATGGAGTTTGGAAAGGTGAGCAGCAAAGTTGGAGATGTCGTCGTCTTTAGTTTTGGGTTGAGGGCGAGGCTCGTAGTCGTAGTTAAAGATATGATAAGGTTGCTGTTTTAATTGCTTGGGAATGTCGTGCAAATTGTATCCGTCGAGTTTTAAGATCTGCAAACTTGTATGGATTGTATCATAATATTATGGCCTAGGCTCTTGGTTTTTTTGATATTACTGGCTGTAAATGTGTACTGAAGCACCGGGAGGATTGCAGATTAAAATTTGGTGGGTCTGTTCTTGGTTGGAATGCTCAATAAAATTGATGTATTGATTTAAAAAAAAAAACAATTAGTTATGTTATATATTAAAATATTTTAGAGGCTTTATTGGGTCTATAACTGGATTCTTAACGTTTAAGCTCACAGATAAACTCAAAACGAAAGTGGGCCTTCGGACGCTCATTAAAGAAACAGGTCGGTTGATCGGTCGCTTGATTGGTCGGTCGATCAGTCGCTTGATTGGTCGGTTGGCCAGGAGCATAGTCGGTCGGTTAATCAGTCGCTAGATTGGTTGGTTGATCAGTCGCCTGGTCTAGTCGGTTGGCCGGTTGGTAGCACGAAACATAACCAAAGACGGTTCTTCAGGCGGTTGCAACCACGAGGGGGGGTGTTCAGCCGGTTACAACCGACTGCGCACACGATCTGATAACTGCTTTAGAGAACATATAACAGACGATTTGCATCTGGTAGAAGATATCTTCAATCAGCATCAATTTAAGTGAAAATTCACTTTGGGGATCATCTTTATTTTCTTTTCAGTATTAGTTTGCTTTTATTCTTCTTACATTTCGTACAATATTTAGGAATCCTCGATTCCAGGTATAAATGCAGTCAAGTTTGAATTTATTTTCAAATTTTACTTTTTATTATTGGTTGAAAACAACATCAACAATTTGGCGACCACAGTGGGAGAAAGGCAAGATTGCTGATCCTACGTCAGACGAAAATTTCATACGGTTGAGGTCCGGCCGAATCATCGGAAGGATCCAAATTGGGAGGGGCCTTTCATCATTCACAGGAAAATCGGGAACGGAGCTTTTATTATTGTGAATCAGGAAGGGAAGTTACTACATGAAAATATTAATGCCAAGTATTTGAAAAGGTATTTTCCTGCCTTTTCAGAGCGTTGTCATTAATTTTATTGCAAGAAATATAAGAACCCTTTAAGGGTTTGAACCCATATGAAGGGTTTTTATTCGTCATCCGAAAGGGTGACACAAACGTGATCATCTTCTGGCTCCAAATCTCCGTCCCAATTTGCAGTAACCATTTCAGGTTCCTCATCAAGGAGATCTTCTATGTCGGGGCGATAACGATCCCATTGGTCTTGCATTTCTTGAAGGTCTTGTTCGGTGCAAACTTTCACATCTTGTAAAGAGTGACGTTCTCGCTCAATAAGAACGCGCAATCTGGAGAGTGTTGATCTTTGTTGATATAAGATATTGTTCTAGGTGAGGTCGGGGAGAACGGCCATGACATGATGATCTATCATGTCCATGTGATGATCAAGGTCGGATATGCGAGTGAGAATTTCGGTAAGAGGTTCATAGCCAGTGGATACATGTTCCATCAAACAAATCGTGCGGTGTATGATTTTCCTACTCCTACCAGAAAACTTGAATTTAAAGTCGAGTTGTTTAAGCACTTGTATCAGGTCTTCAGCATGGTGTCCTATAGGGTGTTTGCCTACAAAAAATGGTTGCAGGGAACTTTCCGAGTTGGTGGCAGGAATACGGATTCGGGGAGAAGCCATGTGTTGGAGGGTTTGAAGGTTAGCTGTGAATTGTTCTTTCGAAGTTTGATTTAAATAGGCGAGTTGTGTTGTAATTTTATGGTGCAAATTCGTGGATCAGTGATAAAAAAAAATAGGATAAAATTAAGGTGAAAATTTATATTTATACAAGGGATGACATTGTCTATATCTACAAAAGGAGGGCTCTCAGGGCGGTTTGTAGGTTTGCCCATTTTTGTGCAGACCGGGCTGTCCTCCATTGCTGAAAAGCCGTCTGGTGTTCTTGTACAAGTCTCGACTGAATGCCCGCTTGTAGTTGGCCATGGAGGCTTGCTTGAGTCGGGTGTTGTTCTGTTACCAGGCGACTTTCCTCTTGGATGCTTTCGTCTAGAGTCTAGGGAAGGTCGGCCTGAAGCTCGGTGATCCTCACCATCATCCGATCGAGGATTGGGGCTGCCACAGACTCAGCAGGAGTCTTCACCAACAAGTCGATAGCCACTTGAGCCAGAGAATCAAGGTCTCCAGGACTCAAGTCGGCAAACGATAAGTCGGCACAGCGCACTACCACCGGTCTGGCAGGGGCTAGTAAAGGCACTTTGGGGAGAAAGTTGATCTCACGAGTAGCCTGATTAAAAAACCAACCAGAGTGATTAGAAAACTAACTTAGAGGAAAATTAGTAGATTAATGTCGAAGCTACCTGAGTGAGGACGGCCGTGGCGTCGGAAGGGGCCAGGAGAGCCGGGGTCAGGGGCGGAGCACCAGGTCGGATCCTCATCCCGGCGACCGATTCGGCGGCTGCAAGATGGGGACCTATGAAGCCCAGTTCTGAACCGTGAAAAAGGAAAAGGGTCAGATTAAGAAGGGTTGGAATTAGAAACGAAGGAAATGCAGAAGGAGGAAATGCTAACCACATATTCATGACTCTAATTGACGGAAGCATCGCCCGACTCCAAGGAAGAGACCTCGACTGGTTCGGGGTGTTGGACTGGCCCGGGATTTTGGACTGGTTCAGGGGCCGGAGGGGTTGGTTCAGGGTTCGGTTGAACCAATTCATGAGCCACCGATAGATGTTGGACGGCGGCAACTGGTTCATCTATAGAAGCAACCGCCGCAGGTACCTAAAGCAAAGAAAGCGACGTGAGCTATGGGTGAAAAGAGAACATAATTTGTAATCGTTTCATACTCACCATAACATTTGGTCGGGAAGAGGTAGAGGATGAAGAGTGAATCTGCCTCAATGTCAGGTCCTTCTCCTGACGAATCACGGCAGTTCCACTGGTGGTTCGACCTGCTGCGGAGCAACCACCGTAGCTGGCGAAGAAGGAATTGTCTGTGTTCAAGGAAAGGTGAAGTTAGAAAAAAAATTTAGAAGGTAGAAGAGTTTGGAAATTACCGCTTCGGTTGGTGGGTCGGCTGGTTGGTCGGCTGGTGAGTCTGCTCGTTGGTTGGTGGTTGGTCGGCTGGTCGGTCGGCTGGTGGATCAGCAAGCTGGTCGGTTGGTTGCTCAGTAGTTGGGGGAAGCGACTTGGAAACAAGAATTGTCAGAAGCGCATAAGATAAAGACAAAAATGAAGGTTGAGTTAGGTTAGTCCTTACCGAGGTGTCGGCACACATTGGCGGGCAACCAGGCGGGGTCCATAGGTAAGGACACCAAGTAGTCTTCTACCGCCTGCCGATCATACGCCGGCTCCGTGGTGACCTTGGTGCGGGCGGCTCTATTTGTCTTCGGAGCACTAGGGCCTTCAGCAGCAGCCGCCCACCACTTCTTAGGAACGGCCGCAGGGGGTGGTTAGCCTAAGGCAAGGGCTGGAGGGGGAATAAATTTCTCCAACAGTTGGTTAGAAGGAAGGGCCACCACAGCCCAGGTGGCCGACCACCAGGAGGAAAAGCTTCAACCGACTTGGGGCCTCGGCGGAAAGGAAGACAAGAATTGGACGTAAGATAAGAAAAAAGTTGGGAAAGATAGGGCAAAATTAGAGTAAGGATCACTCACCCGTCGGGACTTTGGGTTATTAGCTAAGGTCGGGCGAGTGGACCCGGCAGACCTTGACAGCAGCCGAACTGTCGGGACAAAAATTGCGGCTGATAATTAAAAGTGTAAAAAGACTTGTGAGTTTTCTTATCAAACCTAGGACTAGAAAAAAAAAAGGGATTGGGGTTTGAGAGCCGAGTCCCAAGAATGGGGATAGGTCGGATGAGGTAAAGGATCAGGATATGGATGGGAGTAAGTGGTATCCGAATAAGGCCAGAACAGCTCGGTGGCGTACTGGACGTAAGTCTTATAAACAAAAAATTTGGAATTGCTACGGTCGTCTGAAAAAATGGCCGTAATTACAGGGTCGGAAGGATGGAGTGGAATAGTTTGGGGTAAGCTGGGCAAGGGCTAACCCTAGCGACCTCTGAGGGTTCGGGGATATGGGTAGCCGACCAAAAAAGACTGTTGGAAAATACAGCCGTAGCCAGAGCTCAAGGAACAAAAAAGGGCCAGAGGTGGCCGTGTCCGCCCTTTTAGTGTCCAGAAGGTGGACACTGACTCTGGACAAACCCTCATATAAATTGGCCAAAAAGAGGGTTCCCAATTAAAATAATTGGCCATTGGCAAGATGAATGGCTAAATTTAATTGCGAGGTCAAAACTGATTTGAAGGGGCAGAGAATTATGTATCTGTAAAGGATACAGGGATAATTCAAATTTCGAATAAATATATATAAAATTGACCGAAACAAAGAAACCCACATACCTGCACAACCAGAATATGAGGAAGGCGGTGTGTTCCAGGGCGGTTGTTGGGGCACCGTCCGCACCCTGATGTCGGACAACAAAATTTGTCCAGCCCCGATCTTTCTCAAAGGTACGGGCGAACGACCAGCCCTCGTGGTCAGAAGCCGGCTCCTGACCATCCAGCGAACCTAACACCGGATCGTCGCCGACGACAGAGAGATGGGCAATCATAGCCACATCCATCAAGGTCGGGCCAATCGGGCCAATTGGGAGAAGGAAAATGCCCAGTTGGGCATTCCAAAAGGCCGCCATGGCTAGAAGGACTTTATCGTTGAGGTAAAGGGGTTGAGTTGAGAGAAAAATGGCCTTGTCCATCCCCTGTCGTCTCCATTGTTCGCCAAAAATGGGGGATAACCTGGAATACCAGGAACGAAAGGCATCTTTCGGATCGGTAAGGTGGGTTTTGATGTGGTCATTAACGCGTTCGGGTTTGAAGTCAAGGTTGTTAATGGCTAGAGGGTAACTGAAGAAATGATGCTCCTCATGCGAGAAGCATCCTCAGAAGAAGTACAGTAGGGGCGAAGAGTTGGGTAAGCACAACAGAGGAAACAAAAGGGATTTTCGGATCAAAGCCATCGAAGGGCAAAGCTGGAACATACTGGTTGGCCATGGTAGTAGAATGGTGAAGCTCGAATGAGAAAAGAAGAAGTAGGTTCAGCGAGAGAGAAAAATGTATGTGGAAATGAGAAGGCATAAGGAAGAAGATGGAAGTGGAAGGATTTTAAGTGGGGTTTTTACAAAACCCCGTGATTAGACAGCGCCATGATGAACAAACTCCCTAACAACGTCACATCTAACACTGATCGAGAAGTGACGATAGGGAGTCGGGCGGGGGGAGACAAATTGTTATATATTATAATATTTTAGGGTTTTTATTGGGCCTATAGCTGGATTCTAACGTTTGGGCCCATAGATAAACCCAAAAAGAAAGTGGGCTTTCGGACGCCCATTAAAGAAACAGGTCAGTTGATCGGTCACTTGACAGGTCGGTTGATCAGTCGCTTGATTGGTCGGTCGATCAGTCGTTTGATTGGTCGGTTGGCCATGAGCATGGTTGGTCGGTTAATCAGTTGCTAGATTGGTCGGTTGATCAGTCGCCTGGTCTAGTCGGTTGGTCAGTTGGTAGCACGAAACATAACCGAAGACGGTTCTTCAGGCGGTTGCAACCACGAGGGGGGGTGTTCAGCCAGTTACAACCGACTTCACATAAGATCTGATAACTGATTTAGAGAACATATAACAGGCGATTTGCATCCGGTAGAAGGCATTTTCAATCAGCATCAATTTCAGTGAAAATTCGCTTTGGGGATCATCTTTATTTTCTTTTCAGTATTAGTTTGCTTTTATTCTTCTTACATTTCGTACAATATTTAGGAATCTTCGATTCCAAGTATTATTGCAGTCAAGTTCGAATTTATTTTTGAATTTTACTTTTTATTGTTGGTTGAAAACAACATCAACAAGTTCAAATTCATTTTATTTATGTATCTTTCAAATTTTAATATTTTTGAACAATTATACTGTATATTAACTTCCTCCCAATTGAATGTATTGTTTTTATTATTTTCCTTTGTCCCACTCAAAAATACTTCCTATGTCGGTAGATGATCATTTTGTCTTAGGCACAGTTATTTAAATAGTACTTTTTCCGTCCGCCAAATTTGTTCACTTTCTTAGCAACAATACAAAAAAATTAGGGTAATTTTAGAGGACGAAAGGAGTATATATTTGTAGCTCAGGTACTATCTACTTTACTAAAAAAAAAAAAAAAAAAAGGGGGCTGTGGAATACTTAGAGGAGCTTCCATATCAATTGTTTTCATTTCTCTCATTAGACAATCTCTAGCACTCATTGCTACAGGTTTAACTCGATTATTTCCTTATTGTACTTTTCCAACAACTTCATCAATATTAGCTAACAAATAAAAGGTCGGATAAATTATTAAATTATTAATAATAAATTATAATATTATTTTCTTATTTTTTATATGAATAATGTTATTGATATTTTTTAAAATATAAATTAATACATATGATTAAAAAAATTTAAAATATGTATATAAATATTTTTAACATTATATTTTAATAAAATATATAAATACCATTTTGTAGATAATAAAATTTTACTATAACACAAATGAAATAAAAATATTTATTTATTTATAAGTAACTTAAACTAATTTTATAAAAAGAAGAAATTTTAAATAGATATAAATATATTTGTTTATTGTGGATGGAGGTAGAAATAAAGTAGTTTTGGATGATCCTATTTAATTAAATTAATTTATAGTTTAAAATGAATAGATTTAATAAAAATAAAAATAGATTATTTGTCATGGGATTAGGGAAAAAAATGGATCATCTGTGGCAAAGTGGAGAGAATATCTCTTTTTATTACAGTGAAGATAATTAATATATAGATATCAAAATAGCTTTAATTTTTACAAAATACTCAATTATATTATACTTTCAATAATTACTAAAATTACACTCCATCCGTCTCATATAAATTGTCCACATTTTCTAGGTACATCTGTCCCATATAATTTGTTATTTTTTTATATATAATTATACATTTAAATCAAATTTTAAATTTCATAATTTATAATCTTTCTTAATTTTAATTAAATTATTAAAATATCTTAATTTTAATATATAATTATTTTTACTAATATATTTTTTAATTACTTGCTAATTATAGTTTATCTAAATTATCGTATTTATGATAACACGGACAATTTATCCGAGACGGAGAGAATATTATTTGTTAGTCTACTATATATATATATATATATATATATATAAAGAGTACATTCCATTGGAATTGAAGAGTGTAAAAGTATTACAAAATATTACTCCCTTAGTTTCAATTTAAAGTATAGTTTTTATTATTTTCGTATCTCTCACTAAAAAATTTCTTTTTATTTTAGTAAAACTAATCTTACACTAATATTAAAATATACTATTTAACTTTTATTTATATTACAAAATATCATTACACATATAATTAATTTATACATACAAAATTATCAAACTTTTTACACACTTCCACTAACTAATAAAATTATTATTATTTTTTAATCAACTACAAAATTCTAGAAAGGTACATTTATCCGGGACAGACGAAGTATTAAAGACTTTGGGTATGTTTGGTTGCTCAAGTGTACTTACTTTGATATTATACTTTTTTTTTTTCAAATATTACACTATGTAACTCATTTAAAATTTTAATTTTCATCTTTTTTCAATAAACAAATAAATATATTTATATAAATTGAGGTTTTTTTATTTTAATAAAATTAATTTATATTAATTATAAATAAATATTATTTATATATTTTTATTTTGTATTATAAAAAAATTATTCTTCATAAAATAATATCTATATTGTATACATCATATTAAACTATAATTTCAAACATTTAAAAGATTTAATCATATATACTGTATTATATTATAGCGAGAGTTGGATTAAAATTTCTGTCAAAGAAATGTAGTTCTCTACTTTATTGATTATGTATGTTATAGCTTCATTTTTTGTATTTTTCACTCAATCGCCGTTGTATATGTAACGTGTACTTACGATTGTTTAATAAATACTTTCAATTTTAAATATATATGTACATTACCTCTCGCTCTACACCCATTATAAGCTTAGATAATTCCATTTAAATACCGCGTACTTCTTTTGTGATTTTTTTTAAAAAAAAAAAAAAAGAAAGAAAACTACCGACAGTTTAAGAGTTGAGGCAGGACTCCCCTCACTCCCCTTTTAAACCGTAGTTCTTTCATATTCAGGCAAATCGACGCTCGCGAACCTCCCAACGATCAAGAAGTAACGGATCCATCCATCAAAACGGTGAGGAGAACAACCAACCCGCCTCGATCCCCTAAGACGAGTTCAAAGAAGTAAGTGTCTGGTCAAAGCCTTTTTCGATTTTTTATTTTGTTGACATTCGAATTTTATACTGTAGTTTATTCAATTGTTTGGGGTGGAAGCCTTGGTCCCGTGTTTGTAAGCCTCGGTTCGATGATAAGGAGCACTGGGTGGTCGGTGTTGTGTTTGTTCACCGGGTTTGAAATTGTTCAAATTTTTGGTCAAATTACCCAGTTCAGTATTTTATTTTGACACCGATTTTGGGTAATTTTATTTGTTTTATCTTTGATTTTTGTTAATTTTGGAGATGTACATTTTTTTTAGTTACTCGAAGTTGCATATTTTAGTTTTTTCGTTTGATTGTTCGCTAATTAGTCATATTTGTGGATTCGCAAATACGGTATTATTAGGTACCACGAGTTTTATTTGTTTGGTATAATTTGCTAAGTAATATACTTGTAATGGACTATTGTATACTCGGAATGTGCTGTTACGTACTCCTGATAAATTGTGATAAACTTTTAACTAAATTGAAGATTTGGATAATGTGGACTAATGGTATTTACTTACAGACCGGGGAAGGAATACAAATCGGTAATCAGCCGCTTTGCATTACCCTTTTTCCACAACGCGGTGGAGAAACTCAAGCAACACATGTTGGGCGAACACATCAAAGCCATCAAAATGACTCCGTTCGGGCATTTTTAGGACTGCCCGAAGATGAAGTTTTTGTGGCACCGCCTTCTTGCCCTTGTTGAGAACTTTAGTTCGGAGTCTACGTCATTCAAGATCGGAGCTAACATTGAGCTGCCATTTGAAGGTGAGGAATATTCTGTAGTCTTGGGACTACATGCGAAGGGATTTTACATGACGGATAACACATTAGTTGAAAGTGAATGGTTTGTTCGGATATTTGGGGGCAAGCTGCATCATGTAACCCGTGCTGAGGTGTTGCAGAAGCTGCGTGAGGCTCTATTGCAGGGGTTGGAGCCTTTATCTATTGCTGATGTTGCCCGTCTCTTAATTTTTCTTGTTTTTGCAAATATTTTATTTTGTTCTGCGAATTATTTTGTACCCCTTTTTTTTGTTATCGTATGTGGATGACCTGACTGTGATTGGTGACTATGCATGGGGACCTGCAAGTCACCGATATCTCTTGAAGTCTATAAGCAATTTTAAGCCCGGAAAGAAATATTTGACAGACTGCACTGTCGGTTTGTTAACAAGCAATGTAATATCGGATTTGTTATCTTATTTTTGTATATTGCACAATGTTTGTTACTATTATTGTTGGAAGTAATGAGATCATTATTATTTGTAGGCTTTTTTTAACAAATGAGTCCCAACCCTGAAGAAGGCAAGGTGTCTACCGAATGTACCGCGACTCTTTTTCGGTGGCTGAACAACCTAGGTCCGATCTCCAGGGTTTCTGTAGTGACTGAATTATCATCCTTGAAAGGGACAGATATTCAGGACTTCTATCGAATAGGCATTGAAGAGAAGTTTGTTCGAACAATCTGCCATACTTCGGAGGTAAGTGCATTATTCAATGTTGTTACATTTTAAATGGATACAATAATTTCTTATATGACATTATTAACATATGTTGCGGGAATCAGCTCAACAAAATGCAGTGTTGAAGGTGGAGTTACGGAAAAATTATGTTGCAATTGCGAAACTTACTCGTAAGTTGCAAAGAACTAGATATCAGGTTGTCGAGGAGGACAACGAAGTGAGTGTGACGATGAGGGTGATGGTGACGAGGAGGGTGACGCGGAGTATAAGGAGAAGACAACAAAGCGGGTGGATATAGAGACAGAGGAGAAACAACTAGAGGAGGATGAGAAAGATCAGAAAGATGAGGCCCCGGAAGAGGAAAAGTAGGGTGAGGAGGAAGAAAAGCAAGCTGACGAGAAGGAGAAGCAGGGTGAGGAGGAGGAGAGTCAGGCTGAGGAGGACCTCGACGAGGCAGTGGAAGCCTACAAGAGTTTAACCAACTAATGGCCATTTTACTGTATATCGCGCCTCCGGATGTCAAGGTCAGTTAATTAATATAGTAAGTACATTTTGTTTGTCGTAGTTGTCCATCTATTGAATGATTATTTGCCCTATTGAAATTGTAGCCGACGGATGAGTCTAGCAGTGAGACTTGTAGCAAGGCCACGGATTCTTTGATTGTACGTGTTGTAATGGCACATAATGATTGGAAGAGAAAGAAAAAGCCTGAATTTGTGACACCCGTATCAACACCGCGAATAAGGAAAACCAGAAAAACTGGGAGGGCTAAAGAAAAGTCAGTGGCCAACGTCGTAGATGAGCAGGTAAGTAGTTTGATATAAATATCAATTGTCTGGCTTAAAATACTTTGGATAGATTCATAAATACCCAAGTTTTCTAAGTTCATACTTCTACAATAAATACAGATACCTACGGAAACATGATTATCTCCATTATTGGTTCATGAACCTTTTGTTGTTGGCGACGATGGGGAGTCGGATGCTACCGCTGGAACATACGATGAAGTAAATAAGTGAAAGATATGTCGCAATAAAATGACAACTATTGTGGAAAGGGGACCCTATCTGAGGATGAGACGAATACCATCAAACAATTTCTCGCGTTGTTCGCATCCGGTATTGCTATTCACTATTACGGTATTTTATATTTTTCTCAATTGATGTTTTTTATGTTTGCGGCTATCATTTTATGGGAACAATGTATGACAAAAGGGCGTCGTGTTCGTCTCATCCGATTTGGTGCTAGAACTGTTGTTCGACCAAGCTATCAAAGGCGAGGTGATTGACGTGTACCTACATTATTTATGCAACATTAAATACCAGCTTCAGCACAACCCACCGGTGCGTTGTGGTTGTGTGCCATGATTTCTATCGGTGAGTATCTTATTTGGAATTTTTACTGTTAGTATTAGAAATCACAATGTTATTATTGTTTTGATTGTTTTGTTTGATTTTCAGAAAGCCGTGAACGATGCACTATCACCCCCAAGCAGAAGAACGAAAAGACCGACCATTTATAAAGGTAATGTGCTCACGTTTGCCAAATCGCTTCAAGTGACCGTATGCCAGGAGATCGCTGCAATCATTGACAAAATCCAAACTGGGTGCCGGTACATATTTCTACTGGTGCACACCCTGTTCCACTGGCATCTCTGCATATTGGATATCGTCAATCGCGTTGTGCTGGAGTGTAATCCGTTGCCCGTTCCCTTCAGCCAAGGGAATGCAAAGAAATTGGCGCTTCTATGGAATAAATATAATTAAGTGTCTTTGGGTAGAATGAATTCCTTAACAAATTTTTGCATTATTTGTGCAGACGCAATTTTTATCGTTGTACATGAACGCTGCACAACTATGGCCTATGCTGAGCGACATGCTCGAATACGTTAGAAGCCGACATCAGGGTGACACGCTGGACTGTGGACCTTTAGTCTGCATGTTCGCAGAGTGTTACGCCCGGGCGATCTGGATGTCAATCTCGTGGGCGTCCTAGGCGAGGACTTTGGCGATGCAAAGAGCTACCAAGGCACGATTGCGGCAAGGATATTGAAAGGACCCCCCTCTGATTCGTAGACTCTTATGGAAAAAACATAGCAGGTTAACATATGTAATGAATTTGGATTGATTTGGCAAGTGCTTGCGTTGTGTGGCGAGGTGCTGAAATTGGTTAATGTCTTACTTTCGGATTAAATTATCTGCTACATGAGTTTGGCTAACTGTCAAAGGGAATGTTCCCATGGATTGCCTTAACTCACCAACACATGATTGTAATAAACATTCGAAGATACTTGGAACTACATTGCTGATGCCCCGAAAATAATTTCATATACCGTTTATGCCGCGTTTGGTGCTCTGTCACATGCTTTTATACTCAAACCACAAACGTAAATACTCATTGATAGTTTTTATGTGCCTACGATAAACTAGTATGTACTTTCGTTTATATATTATATGCTCCAGTAACCTACGTTTGTAGGACCGGCCTTTTCTCTTGAACTGATCACAGAAATGGCGTTCACTCTGAATCAGTTCAACCGTTTCAGCTTTTCCGTGAAACCCAAGTGTACACCATGTTTTAATTGACTGGTAGAACTGCAAGTGTTTGCTCGTTAATTGAAATCAAACACTATGAAAACAACATCATAGGATAAAAACAAAATAGTTGTGCGACATGTGGGTGTCTAGTAGTTGCTTGTGTGTCAACTTCTAATCAACTATTATAACTCCATATTATAATCAACTATTTAGTACGGAGTGCTAAACAACACGTGTTTACTATGGTGTGCTACTTCTATACCACTCCTCCCATCGAGAGACTACTTATTGGGACGTATCAGCCCCTCTGGTACACTGCGCAACACACAAAATAACATGGTGTCTACCGAGTCAACGAGAGGCAATGATCGCACCCAATTTGCGCATGGGACCCGCCGCTTAGAATTGACTGAAATAAACTACACTTGAGGATACCTACAATTACACCACTAATGCCGACGAACTTATTATGTGTACCTCGTTAAGCGAGTCTGGTACTCGGCTCACATGCATACATACTGGAGTCATAAATATAAATACCCTATATTATTTATTATGTACGTATGCAATAACTATTATACTTCCGTTACAATTTAAAATGCTCTAGTAACCTGTGGATGGGGACTTGGCCTTTTCTCTTGAAATATTCACCGAATGATGCCAACCATGTATTAGCTCAACCATAGTAGTGTTTCTCGGCAACCCCAACGTGTATGGCTTGTTTTAGGCTACAGATAAAACTTAAAGCGTTTACCAGTTAATTGAGTTAAAACACTATGGAGTAGACATGATAATATAACCACAATATAGTTGTGTGGCACATGGAAGTCTAGTATTTAGTTGTGTGCCGAATTTTAATCAATATTGCAACTCCAGGTTATTACACGGTAATACAATTTAAATACCGTAAAAACAACATAAGACCTAATTTGTACTCGGACCAAAACCTTATATATTGGAATCATTAATGTATATACCTTCTATAAGCAATTGCGTACTTACAATAACTGTGGCATTGTACTTCAGTTGCAATTATATATGCCTTGGTAACCTATGGCTGGGGAAACGATTTTTTTCTTTTACTTGAAATAGCATGTATTTACTACTGATGGTTAAACAAGTCATCAACAAGTACTTAAGTGGTATGATATATGCAATTGGTTAGTATGGCGAGTTTAATACAAGCCAGACCATTTTATACATGCCTCAATCCATTTCCGATACGTAGTTATGATGTGTAAGAAGTAGTTGCACATAGCAACAACAATGAGATTTAATCAACTACCATAATTCCAAGTAATTACCCAAAATTAGAATTTAAATACCTTGGAAACAATTGGATATTATATTAACCATTCATCAATACAGAGCTGCATCATCAAATGCCTCAGTACATGGAAAATATACCTGCAAAATATATCTACGAACCTCCATAACTTCATTATATACCTGCGTGAGCGAGCTACAAACCATTTACTACTGCAAATAAGTCGGTGGATCCAACCGATTACATCATAGAGACAAAAAAAAAATTACAAAATACCTATTGAATACATACCTATTGTCTTAATATATACTTTTGGATGCCAAAAAGATATACAATGTAAGAAAGGTTCACTAATCTATTCGTTGCTTACAACTTCTTCTATATGTCTGAGAAGTCCATAACGACTACATTTTCAGGGATGCTTTAGTTGTTGGGACTCAAATTGTCGTTTTTTTGGCCGGCCTGGTTGGAAGGACGAGGAAGAAGGGTGAATTCGGTCCGCCTGAATTTCAACAATCACATCCATATCGTCATCAGAACGGGATTTACTAGTTTCTGCTACGATTTTCTGTAGGATTCAATGCTATAGTAAGAATCACAAAAATAATAAATCAGCATATTATATTTTTCAATGCAAGCACATGCATGCTTACAGGGTAGTCAGAACATTTTCCATTCCCGACATGAGCATTTTCGAGCCTCCAAATCGACTGCGTATCTTTCATTAGAATCTGTTAACTCGAATACGGTTCTAGAGGATGAGTTGCACTGTAGCCGTCGTAAGGCCATGTATGATAGTGCCAACTTGCTCTCTTGTTTCGGACAGAGCCTCCCATGCATTACCTTCGACTTTTTGCGGCGTTCATTCATCATTATCATCACTTGCATTCTGATGGTATCCAATATCCCAACAAATGGCATTGACCTCGCGGATCTCACCCAACAATTCCATGACTCAGCAATGTTATTATTTATTATTCCCCAACGAGTGCCTCTGAATAGTGAATTTGCCCAATATTCTAGGTCTGATTGGGTAATGAAATCTCAAGCCAATGACATCGATTCGACCACAAAAGTAATGTGGTTCTCAAAATCTTTCCTCAATGGAGCATAGATGGCCTTGTTGAAGACAACGGACTATCGTTTCTTATTATGCACTGGGTATCCATTTTTTGACTAATCATACCTACTGATGTTCATTATAAATTAATATTAACATACATATACCTAAGTACGGAAATTGTCCACTAAGTGTCCGAGACAGTATGCATGATGTGCTCTAGGAAAAACGCATGGGATTGTTAGTAAACCCGAGTGCCTATCCGAGAAGAAAGTGTATTGTTTCCAATCCGCATGACCCTCATATTCTAAAACAGATCACAGCTTCCAGCAAAACCACTCTCAATTTTCATCATTTTCCGCGGACACCGCTGCAAGTCAGCAAATAAGAACACAAATAACTACAAATATTTCCAGCGTATGAGGGTACATCTATGCCTAAGGAAAGCATACCGCAATGCTCTAAGGGTATTCGAAACAACATTGCAGGTATATATTTAACAAAAAATAGATCACATGGAAAACAACAATCACAAACAACTAATATGAAGTACTACACCCAAAGTTGTCTAAGGGTAAATAATAACCTAATATACAACCTACGGCTCCGAAGAACAACTACACCATAAAAGCTACACCCAACATTCTAACAAAATGACAACCGTAGATCAAATTACGTACCATAAAATGCTAAAGTAAACATCCCATCATCCCCATCCACTGTTATTGCACTTAGCAAACATCCTTTGAGTTTGTTTTTTATATGCGTCTCATTAAGAAAAAGTAGGGGCCTGCAACCCCTCAAAAAACCTAGCCGGCAGGCACCTAAACAAACAAAAATGCACTGGAAATGTGACCTGTCGTGCGGTCAATCAAATATTTCACCTATTCCATGATCACAATTTACTGTAATACAGGGGAAGGGATCGTCTCCACAGGTATTGTGTGATTCACTCTTTCGTGTTCTAATGCAGTAGATAATTGGGGGGATTTTCTTTTATTATTTAATAAAAATAAAACAAGAAAGCAATTAAATTAAATGAGAACTAGCTATTAAGGGGATGTTTGGCTCGAGGGATGATGCAGTTATGGCACTTGTGTTTTATTATTAATTCAATAAAGTTAGTTCTTATTAAAGTATCAATAAATTGGTTATAGTTATCAACAAGCTCTGACTACCCCTAATTAAGCAAATAAACCTAGGTGTGCCAATAAGAAATATTGCCTAATCGCATTCTAATCTAGAAAAATCTAATTCAAAATAATTACTACCTAAGATAAGCAATTAGATTTGATTGTCTAACCCCCGGGAAGGAACTATTCAACCCGGTTGTCACTGATTCAAGTGCGAATACAATTACGGATATCCTACCTGAATTAACTTTAGATTATCACACTAATTCAAATATCGATACCAAAATATTCAATCAATCTAACAATCACAAACGTTATTCTCAGAATTAGACAAATATTAATAATAAAAAAAAAACTTTTATAAAGAAAATTAATAATCTCCAAAACAAAAGAACCCAAACATTATCATCAATCAAACCAGAAAAGTATCTATCCATAATCAAATAACAAAGAATAGTAGAGAAAGATAAAGTCATAGTGGGAGGGGAAATCTTCTCTGTCGATTTGCTCATGCGCGATCTATGAGTCTATCAGTCTCCTGCTCTTATGCATATCTGCTCTAGTTGTTCTCTCTTCCCTTTCTGCGTGTGATTCCCCTTTTTTGTTTAATTTTTGCCCTAATTATTTTGTTGTTGGGCTTTTGGGCCTTTAATTAAATTTTCGTGTCAGGATGGTATAGTTAGTTATGGCCATGACTAACTAGGGGGTGCGAATCTGAATTTTTCTTTACTTTTTCTGCCAATTACACCAAATTTGATATTTGCCCTCTCCACACAACAAATAAACAATACGCATATAAATTATGTAGAACTCAATCAAAATCAACCAAATATCGCATATGATATGAATATAAAACGCATTCGATTTCTAGCTATCAATTCTCCCCACACCTAGATCATGTTTGCCCTGAAACATAGATTCGAAATAAGCCAAAGAAATCGCAGGCGACTCAATATGACAAAAGGGTTCAATACCAACCAATTCAATCTGAAATTCAACACATCAAATCAAGTCAATCTCACAAGATAAAATGTATACACATGCTCTTTGAAGGAATGAGTGTATAATTGGCTCAACACTCAGGTAGTGCAACAAAAGATTATCCTATAGGCTTAAATAAAAATCAGATCTCTCTTACTTAAATATTTGAATCTAGCATAAAGAATCAAAGGACTTTCAATAAGGGTTGTAGCGGGGCTTATGGTCAGGGGTAGGGAAACAAGGATAAACAACGGCTAAGAATGTCAGAAAAGAATACAATAAGAACACGATGCTAGCATATGAAAAACAAATCGGCATAAATAATGAAATCCTTAATCTATTCACTACCCAAACTTTAATAATGACATTAAATGAAAATACTTCATCAAAATGATTGTTTTATTATTTATTTATTTATTTATTTTTCTTGTTTCTTTTTCTTTTCTTTTCTTTTCTTCTTTTCTTTTTTTTGTTTTTTTTCTTTTTTCTTTTTTTTTTTTTGTTTTTTTTTTATTTTTTGATTTTTGTTTTTGGCTTTTGTCTATATATATATATATACTTTCACTACCTATAATTATTCCTTCATACTATGACTTATTCGTACCCAAATTTCGTTTCTAACTAGTGCCGAAGAAATAAAGTGCGTCACAATATGAACTTAAAGTAATTCTTTCTAACATAGGGTTCAAATCGGAGAAGGTTTGATCAAAAGAAGGGTATGAGACTAAAAGACAGTTTATATAAAAGAAAAAATAGGCTAAGAAGGCTCAAATGGGCTAACTATGAGAATATATTGTGCTGGATAATAAAGAAAGGTTTAATGGGGTTACCTAATGCCCTTATCATTTTCAAAACGCAAGATTTGATAGTTGCAAGTTCAACATGCATAATCACTCAAGTTCTAGGTCATCTAATTGAGCAATACATATCTCACAAGAAAGAAATTTCCAAAAGCTTGAATATATGCAATTTATTTTCTTATGTAACTTCTGGAACATAGGCTCAAATCTTACGGGGTTCAAACGTCGACTTGACTCAACATATCACCAATCAAGTGTCATTGGTCATGCTAGACAAACCTATCACACAAACCACATTTGACTCACTTCAAACTAATCTAAAAAACATGTGAAAGAATAGCAAATCAGGTATAAAAGTAGCACAAAATGAAAATTTTGTCCAAAAATTTGCATAACTCTCTCTCCCACACCTAATGCATACATTGTCCTCAATGTAAAAAGAAGTAAAACAAGAGAGGAACTTCCCTGGATTCCGTAAGAGGTAGAGTAATTGCGAGCTTTTACTTTACTTGACAATGCCATTGGATTTGGATTTGATCGTGCACCACATTAAGACAAGACTTGAAATTCTCATGAGTCCTGCACAAATAACTAACCAACACAAACTATTCCAAAACAGAGTGATACTTGATCTAACTAGTCATCAAAGAATGAGGTGTCATTTACCCAAGACTCTCATGAAATTTTCAAAGCACAAAGTGAACAACACCCGACTACCACAGCAAGGAGAACTCAAGTTACAGCTCAATTATGTCAAAAATGAGTGATGCAATGACAATGATTGATCAAGCCATAGAAATTACTTTATGTATGTATGAAATATGCAGCAAATAGAGTCCAACATTCAATCTCACTAATCCAGGAATATATCCAAAATTGAAAGAGATTCGAACAAATAAGATTGCACTTTTAAAATCAAGAGTATTAATTGCTCTAATCCAAGGCAGAGTATCTCCAAAATTGAACTAGCAATGAAAAAAATCAAATGCCAAGACGCTATCACTGCAGAGGAGAATTGACATAAACTTCACACAAGTCCCAAACTTCAAGTTCAACCAACTCGATACCAAATTTGCAGTCCAAATACCAATAGCAATAATCCAAGACAACATTTACGAAATTGAAAGTTAGACATAACAGGGGTGAAATGATGTTACCTAATCGCGATTGTTGCGCGGCGGAGTGAGGCACTGGTTGGACGACGGAGGCGGCTGGACTCACGCGGCTTGGTGGCGTGACCACGGCAGAGGCAGTTGGCGGTTGGATCGCAGCGTCGGAGATGGAGGGCATCTTGGTTCGGGCAAAAACGGCGACTCTGGAAGGAGTCGCGCCGAAGGGCGGAATCGCGGCGGAGTCGAGACGGCGACTGGTCTGGACTGGGGAGGAGTCGCGCCGGAGGTTGGAATCCCAGCGTCGAAAGCGGCGACTGGTATGGAACTCCGGCGCAGGGGCGGACTGGGCATCGGACTGGCGGAGATCGTCGTCTGTGCAGAAGACGATCGGCAAAGGTGGGGAGGAAGAAGAGAGGGAGGATCGCGGCGGAGTCGAGACGGAGGCATTCTGGTTTGGTGGCTGTCGTCGCTGGGGTATCAGAGAAGAAGAAGAGGAGGACGATGGGTTCGGTGAGATGAAGGAAAGAAGAAAAAAAGAGAAGGAGAGAGAGAGGGGCAGAGAGAGGCAGAGAGAGGCGGTCTGGCTTATGATTTTGGATTTTTTTTTTAATCTTTTTTTTTTTTTTGTTTATTTTGGAAATTCATGGTTAAAATTGGATCGAGGCATGAAGGGAAAAGACAGTGTGATAGGTAGTGTTCAGTCATGACTAAATACTCTCTCTTATTTTGGAAATTGATTTTGGTAAGAAATGTCGGGTGGAAAAAAAAAAAAAAAACAGCATGCGAGGTAATTTTTAATCATAGTGTCAATTAGTCACGATTATGATTAAAAGTCACCTCTCGATAAAAATAAAAGTGTTATTAGTAATTAAACAATAAAATTAAAGAAAACAATTAAATGATTTGGATTGTCTCCCAAAAAGCGTTTTTCTTTGTATTCTTTGAGTTAGACATCGTCTCGCATCAATTATGAACATTAAAATCGGCAACGGGTGCCAACCTTATAGGATCAAGTGAGGGTCCCTCGTGGTGTAATTTGAAGCGATGTCTATTGGCCACATACTTTTTCTTTAGCTTAAAATTTTGATTCTTCTTATGACACTTTTTCGCGGCCAACTATGGTGATTCCTTGGGAATCCATCTCAAATTTTCGACAATTCTTTTTTTCTTTACTCGTTGTCACTCGTCAGTTGGTCTTTTCTCTAAATGTTTTATCAACATTCGTTTATTCTCATTACCAACTTCATAAGTTTCCTGCACCACAGGATTAATAACATTAATTGCATATAACGATTCAGATTCAACAGGACATTTGATGGGATTAAAAATATTGAAATGAAATTTTTCTCCAGCAAACTCCAAGCTGAGTGTGCCCTTTTTAACATCTATCTTTGTTCCTACAGTGCACATAAAAGGTTTTCTGAACAAAAGAGGCAGTGGGTTAAAGCAGTGTGTATCATGTATATCCAATATATAAAAGTCAAAAGGAAAAATTAAGTCATTCACTTGAACTAGTACATCTTCTATTATACAATCAGGATAAGCATTGGTTCGATCAACAAGTTGAATAATAATTCTTGTTTCTTTTAGAGGCCCTAGATTTAAAGAGTCATATATTGATCGTGGCATGACATTAATAGCAGTTTCTAGATCTAGCATAGTCTTAGTTATCTCAGTTTTTCAATCTTACAAGGGATAGAAAACATACTTGGATCATCTATTTTAAGTGGTACCTTTCTTTTGAAAACAGCAAAAACGTTCTCACCCACTATAATGTACTCATCCCCTCGTAATTTTCTCTTATTAGTGCACAGTTCTTTAAAAACTTTTGCATACTTGGGGATTTGGTTGATAGCTTCCAAGAGCTGGATATTAACTTCCACCTTCTTAAATATCTCCATCATCTCTTTTCGTTTTTTTTTTTTTTTTTTTTTGCCTTATGTGGTTTCTTCAACATGTCAGGAAAATGAGCTGATTTAGCTTTAGTAGGAGGAACAGAGTTAGGAGGTACCTTTTCGTGAAGTTCAGTTTCTTTTTCAATCTTCATCTCAATTTGATCCTCATTTTGTTCCTTTGAAATAGGAGGTGGACCTTCCAATTCTTTTCCGTTACGAAGGGTTATAATACTCGTATTTTTTTTATTAGGCCGGGAAGAACATTCAATCATCGTGTCACTGTAAATAGTGATGGCACTGACATTTTCTGGATTTGGTTCAAGCTGAGCAGGCCACTTTCCTCTTTCACGTAGTTGTCTCACCTCATCTGACACTTGATTGATCTGACCTTGTAATTTGTCAACGGTCGATCTCATCTCTTGTTCAAAATTTTTCGTCTCTTGTTGGAACTACAGGGTAGTGGTAGCCATAAACTTCACCAAGTCTTCCAAAGATAGACTGAAGTTACTTATGGGTGTTTCGGGCGGTTGTTTCTCATAGAAACGAGGTTGTTGTATCTGTTGCGTAGCTCCGAATGGGTGAAGAGCATTACTCTATTGTGCGTTTCCATAGCGCAATTTCGGATGATATCTCCAACCTGGATTGTAGGTGTTGGAGTATGGGTTGTAAACTTGAGGTCCATTTACACCATAGTTTGCAGCATTTACATCCGCTGCATAGCCTTCTTGGAGGGTCGGGCATGCATCCGTAAGGTGGCCTGCACTTGTGTATATTCCACACGCTTTGACCTGGACACTCGAGTTAAATTTTTCCACAACCATCTTGCGAACAAAGCTCGTCAACTCATAAAGTTGTTGTTGCATCGATTGGATAGAGTGGTTGTTACTGTTTCCACTCGTGTGTCCAACATCCCTCGAGCCAAACTGTTGCGTGTTCTCAGCCATTCTCGCAATAAGATCCCAAGCTTGTGTTTGCGTCTTATTCACTAGAGCTCCACTATTTGCAGCGTCGATGATGTTCCTGTCCATCAATGATAAACCATCATAAAAATATTGAATCAATAATTGTGGAGGAATTTGATGCTGTAGACATTTAATGATAAGCTTATTAAATCGCTTTCAATATTCATAGAGTGTTTCACCTGATTTTTGTTTGATGCCACATATCGCATTCCTCAGAATCGCAGCTCTGGAAGCTGGAAAGTACTTCTCCAAAACTTTCTTTTTCATGTCATTCCATGTGTCGAAGCTTCCAGGTGAGAGATAGTAGAGCCAATCCTTTGCAGCATCTTTGAGTGAGAATGGGAAGGCTCTGCGTTTGATCTGTTCGTTAGTAACACCTGGTGGTTTCATGCTGGAGCACACCACGTCGAACTCTTGCAAGTGTTTGTGATGTTCTTCGCCTGTAAGTCCATGAAAAGAAGGCAGTAAATGAATTAAGCCAAATTTCAATTCAAAAGCAATAGTCTTATTCAAAGTTGGAAAGTTAATGCATTAAGGCTGCTGCGTCAAGTTGGGAACAGCTAACTCCCTTAAAGTGTACCTCAGCCATGACAGTCTCTTGATCACTTTCAGAGTCGCTAGAGCTAGAGATTCTGAAATGGTTTAAAGATTCTGCCAGCTTTGCAACTTGAGCAGTTTTTTGTTGTTAGGCTTTCTTTCGCAGTTTTCGCTCAACCTTCTCGATCTCAAGATTAAATATCAATTCACCTGTACGAGAAGAACATGGCATAAACAGGAGGATATATGAAAATAAAACAAATAAATAACACAAAATAGTAAAACAAAGCGTCAATCCCTGGCAACGGCACCAAAAATTGACCTGTCGCGCGGTCAATCAAATATTTCACATATTCCATGATCATAATTTAATGTAATACATGGGAAGGAATGGTCTCCATAGGGATTGTGTGATTCACTCTTTCGTGTTCTAATGTAGTAAATAATTGGGGAGAATTTTCTTTTATTATCTAATGAAAATAAAACAAGAAAGCAATTAAATTAAGGGAGAACTAGCTATTAAGGGGATGTTTGGCTCAAGGGATGATGCAGTTATGACACTTGTATATTATCATTAATTCAATAAAGTTAGTTCTTATTAAAGTATCAATAAATTGGTTATAGTTATCAACAAGCTCTGACAACCAATTTTTTCTTACAGTGTAGGTAATTAAGGTACGACTGTTAACCTCCTAATTAAGCAAATAAACCTAGGTGTGCCCATAAGAAATATTGTCTAATCGTATTCTAATCTAAAAAAAACCCAATTTAAAGACAATTACTACCTAAGATGAGCAATTAGATTTGATTGTCTAACCCCCGGGAAGGAACTATTCAACCCGATTGTCACCAATTCAAGTGCGAATACAATTACGGATATCCTACCTGAATTAACTTTAGATTATCAGACTAATTCAAATATCGGTACCAAAATATTCAATCAATCTAACAATCACAAACGTTATTCTCAGAATTAGACAAATATTGATAATAAAAAAGAACTTTTATAAAGAAAATTAAGAATCTTCAAAACAAAAGAACCAAAACATTATCATTCCTCAAACCAAATAAGTATCTACTTCATAATCAAATAACAAAGAACAATAGAGAAAGATAAAGTCATAGTGGGAGGAGAAATCTTCTATGTCGATTTGCTCTTGTACGATCTATGAGTCTGTCAGTCTCCTGCTCTTGTGCGTATCTGCTCTGGTTGTTCTCTCCTCCCTTTCTGCATGTGATTCCTCCTTTTTATTTAATTTTTGCGCTAATTATTTTGTAGTTGGGATTTTGGGCCTTTAATTAAATTTCCATGTCATGAGGGTATAGTTAGTCATGGCCATGACTAACTAGGTGGTGCAAATCTGAATTTTTCTTTACTTTTTCTGCAAATTACACCAAATTTGATATTTTCCCTCTGCACACAACAAATAAAAAATACGCATATAAATTAGGTAGAACTCAATCAAAATCAATCAAATATCGCATATGATATGAACATAAAACACATGCGATTTCTAGTTATCAAAATGTTTGGTTTCCTGCTCCACCTCACAATCTATAATGCTTCCCGGATTGACTCCCGAAATGCATGACAGTACCACGGAATGTGTGAGAAGTTGTCTCTACCTCTACCATTAATTTCCTTTATCACATTCTCCTTGCCACGCCATGTTTTATGATATTTAACATCAATCCCATAATCTGCTTGGATATGCTCCCGGATGTCAGATGCCTTATACACGGGCATAGAGCGTATCTTATCTTTGTAGACTTCAGAAATCCAGTTCGCATCGGTTGTTGGATGATCTCTTGATTGCAATAAACTCATAGTACATATGTGATGTAAATTGCACTTACGATTTCCGAATGACGCATCATGAGCATGGAAGCATGCATAAATACGCCAACCACAACATTTGTCAATGCACACCGCAATAATTTTGGTCGAATCATTCTTTTGGTACTTGAAATGTTTCGGAGTGGCAATAGAATAATTCTTCAATAACTTTCTAAACTCCTGTGGTCCCTTAAATGTCTAACATTCCCCAACAATGCATCTCTGCATTGAAATTAGACTAGTATTTTCGTCGGGAATAAAGATGCCACATGTTCCATCTTCGTTCAATCCCGGACATTTGTTCTCGCCCCTGGATTACAAATACAATAATAGGAACGAAATTTATGTTAGATGCAAATAATTCCAATTCTATATGGTAATAAAATTTTTTCTTCATTAATATAAAAACATGGATATCCATCTTACTGAACCGAGTATGTACATGGTGTACACGGTTACCTATCATGCCATCCAGGGTACTTAAAAGAACAACTGCATCTATTCACCACAACAAGCTATATGATGCAGTAACTGCCACAGACTACGGAATTTCAATGCATCGATCATGGTACACCTAGCTAAACCGGATTGCTAGAGGATACTGGCAGTGGCGTATAAAGACGGAGTGAACATCCTTAAATACCTTCAAGATGTTACATCCCCACTACACATCTTTACAATATCTTCAGTGGTTTGTTCTGCACCGCGCTACTACAAAATCGCAGAGGCGAATACTTACTACCTACAGATAACATCACAATAAAATACCAAGTTGTTGTATTCCAATAAGAAAAAGGTCTTACATATTGAAATTCAATGATATATGCATCATACCAACTAAAAGTTTCTATATAAACAACATGTTTTTAGATGTGTTGAACATGAATACATAAGTGCTTACAAGCTGCATTCTTTCGTAAGGCGCAACTGTGATTGCATTCTACAAAAAAATTGATTAAAGATGAACAAAGATTACTTAATTATAAAAGATGAGTAACGTACCTGTGTCCAACCATGCTTCGGGGAGGCACGCTCTGGTGCTTGCTCCTATACCGTGAAATCCTATCCACAAATATTACCTTTAACAAGATATGCATTCTCCACATATTTGTGACATCATCGTCACACAATAACGTCACTTAACTTTTCTGAATAGATGCAATATATTGGAGTTTTACCGCCTCAATACTCACCTTATTCCATCTTTTCAATAGATTCCGATAAAAATCCTCCAGCATGGTGCCCTCTTCTAAACCAATTACATGATGCTCACCTTCGTACAAACAAATAATTAATAATTTCATACTACTTTGCTCCATGTCCATCAGAACCTAACAATCCAACGAATGTATAAACTATGTTAGGTCATATAGGCGATTCAACAATCATACATAAAATACACTAAAATCATATGTAAAATTCTAGTAATATAGTGGTCCTCAAATACCAATAAATCACCCAATTCACAAATATAACATTTACAACTTATTTCACAAAATAGCTACAGAAATATCTGCTATCAATGAAATTTATTATCAAAATCACCAAAAAAGTTACCCACTTCACAAAACTCATACTTCATGTATAAATTTCTACTAGTTCAACAAGCATCAACACTTTCCCCAAAACCATAAAATAACAATTTTCTTACTAATCCAAATGTTACTGAAATGTGCGACCTCGGACGATAGTCCTCGAAAATTCTCCCACACCGAAGTACGACATCGGACGACGGTCCGAGAAACTTCTCCGAACAAAGCGCGTGACCTCAGACGACGTCGAACCGGACGGACACAGAGAGGAGGGACAACGAACCGGTTGGAATATGAGATAAAGAACTTCGAACCAGCCGTGGGGAGAAAAGGAAAGAATTTTTCACACTACTAGAACCTGGGCGACCAGAGGGAAGGTTGATTCTGATTTGATTTGATGGTAGAAGATTCAACGGATTAGGAAGAATTTTTCGGCGCGAAAAAAAAAAAAAAAAAAAACCCTAACCGGAGGAGTGAGAAGAATCGAAGAAATGGGTGGAAGAAAAATGAAGAATGAAAAAGGGGGAATGCAGACAAAACTTTTATCAACGGAGACTGAATCACAATTGATAAACGGATAGAGTGATTTAACCCCTGTGCGTATATTATAAATCAAATAGTATTAATTAAATAAAAATCTTTCAATATAAAACTACATCTTTTATTTTTACTTTTTATATTTTTTTATCTATTTTTTCTTATATAATTCAATAAAATATATTAATTTCTTTTAAAGTATTCCATCAAATTATCATTTAGACATAAAATATAAATACAAATTAAAAACATGCAATTATGTGGACAATTTGGCATGTATTGTTAATTTAAATAAATTAGATAAAAAGAAAAAAGAGTAACTCAAAGTCAAATAGTAATTTAGTTATGTTTAGATGATCTGATAAGGAAATGTCAATTTATGTAAGGATTAACAATAATTTACCTTCTCAATTCTCTATAGTGCATTTATTTTAAGTATATTATTATTTAATTATTTAATTTATATATTTATTTTAATATATTAAAACTTGAAATTGATTAAATTCGTAATAAAAATACATTAATAAAAAAATAATTAACCAAGCCTAAATAGATTAAATTAATTAGTTTATCTAAAAACTATTTGCATGAATAAATATATTATTCTCTATTTAATCTAATAAAATATATAATATTAATTCATATCATAATTATATAATTTATTAAAATAATATTGTAAATTATAATTGTATCTTAAGAAGTAACACCCTATATCTATTATTTTATTATTATATTATGAAAGCATAAAAGAGGAAAAATAAATTTAATTTGGAAATACAGCTGGGGGATGACTTATACTCACGTGAAGTCTTAAAAAAAAATACATGGCTTGTCACAATCTGTGGGGAAATTTAAATTTTATTTTAGAAATAAATAATCAATTATAGCAATTATTTTTTATTTTTCTTTTTATCATAGCTATCATTTATTCCATCATAAAATTTTCAAATAACCAACAAAAATGAATTAATATATTGTATAAATCAATGAATAATTGAGTTAAAAAAATATGAAAAGAATAGTATAATTCAATTCAATTAAATTCATAATATTTTACGTATAGATTATTTATAATCTCTTTATTTTTATCTCTTAAATAAATAAATATTTTAAATTATATTTAATTTTTTATTTTTTTTATAAAATTAATTATTAATTATAAATAATAGATATATTATTATTTGTATGATATCTAATTCAGCACCAAATTGAATGCTTAAAAAAATAGTTACATTGATTTAGCATATTTAATTATATTATTAATATAATTAAGATAATTAAATTTTTATATGATCAGCATCTATGCTGAAATAAAAAGATCAGCATCTAATCCCTACTCAATAAAATTTTATTTTCTATAAAATTATATTGATAATAAGAAAAAAATTTAATAGTAAAATTTAGCATTTAAATATATATTAATTAGTATTTTAAATATTAATATCATTACCTACATAAAAAAATAATTAAATAATATCATATTCAATCCATGCAGACTAAATTGTTTATATAGCAAAAATTTTAAAAATATATAATTAATAAATAATTAAAATATATTTTAATAAAAATAATTATAAATTAGAATTAATTTAATCAAATAATTTAATTAAAATTATAAAATTATAAAATATGAATTTAAAATATATAAACATATTTTCTAAAAAAATAAATAATAAGCATTTTATGTAAAACTGATAAAGTAAGGGTGTGTTTGTTTGGGGGTTTGGATTTTGGATTGGGATTTGAATAGTAAAAATTTTGAATTTGAATAGTTGTATGATGTGATATAAATAGGTCTTGATGTGATGTTTTGAATGTAAAATTGATTTTTAGTATAATATAAAAAATAAAAAATAGATGTTTGATTTAATGTTTTTGGGAGAAAAAATTGGATAAATAGTGGAAATCCTCCAAAATCCTTCGAACAAACACACCCTAAGTATATTATCATTAAGTTACTGCATTTTATCACCTTAAATAAAATAAATTATGTCAATTAAAAAAGAGATTGACAAACAAATTATAAATCTTATAGGAGTATTAATTAATTATTTATTTATTTAATTAATTATATTGGGCCCACCATCTGGCTTTCCCAATTCCCATTACTCCTATTTAATTTATTATTTATTTATTTATTTCTCATGCATCTTATTCTTCTTTCTGACCCTTCTTCGGTAATAATACTTTCTTGACATTCGTAACCTTCACAAAAGCTTTACGAATGAATCCCGCCACCGTCCCGCCACCGCTGTCGCCGGCGGAGGCGCCGCAGCACTCTGCTTCAGGAAACCTTGAGAGTATCACGGAAATCATCAACCGACTACTTCCTTCGACTCTCTCCATCACCTGTTTTGCGTCCAGATGGCAAGTTCTTCGCGGTAAGCTAATTTCTCTGAAATCGGTGCTGAACGAAATCGTCGATTCGCCTCACTGGACGGAGAATCCTCTCCTTCCGCAGCTGCTGCCTTCCTTGCTGGCTACCGTACAGCGCACCGAAACGTTGTCTCAGTATTGCTCCGGCGGATCAGTTAGCCGCGGGAAGCTTTTGATGCAATCCGACCTTGATATGGCCGCTGGTTGGCTATCGAGGCAAATGAATGACCTCGAGCTGCTGCTTCGCTCCGGCGTTCTGCATCAGTCCACCGCCATTGTTTTGTCGCGCCCCAATCCGAGTTCTTCGAAGGAGGAACTTACTTTTTTCGTCAAGGACCTATTCACTAGGCTTCAGATCGGTGGACAGGATTTCAAGCGGAAGGCGTTGGATTCGCTGATTGAGCTCCTGACGGAGGATGATAAGTCCGCAGCTGTTGTAGCGAAGGAAGGGAATGTAAGTTTTCTGGTTTCCCTGCTCGATCTGAATTCTAATGATTCAATCCGAGAATTGGCGGTTCACGTTGTTTCCTTGCTCGTTTCCGCGGGAGATGTGCCCCGGAAATGCGTATTTGAGGAAGGCGCTTTGGGGCCTTTGCTGAAAATGATCGATTGCAGTTCGATGCCTATGAAGGAAAAGGCCGCCATGGCTGTGGAATACATTACTTCCGATCCAGATAACGCTTGGGCGATTTCCGCTTATGGTGGTGTCCCGATTCTTATGGAATTGTGTAAATCTGGCTCTATGCCATCACAATCACATGCCGTTGGGGCGATAAGAAACGTTTCAACAGTGGAAGATATTCGCATTTCGTTGGCTGAAGAAGGAATTGTTCCCGTTTTGATGCAGTTGCTTGATTCTGGGAACTCCTCTGCGCAAGCAAAAGCAGCCAACTGTATATCAATTCTTGCATCAACAGGTGAGCATTTTCGCAGCTTGTTGTTGCAGGAAAAGGCCCTGCCAAAGTTGTTACAATTATTTCATGAATGCTCGACGGCGGATACTTTAGAATCTGTATTGGGTGCAATTAGTTCAGTATCTGCCTCGGATGCCAGCTACCGATATTTATCTAGATCTAATTTATTCGTCTTACGAATTTCGGAGCTTGTAAAGCATGGAAACCTAGTTAGGCTGCAGCATATGGCTGCATCTTTGCTTGCTAAGTTACCAATTAGTGATGGTACTAAAATGGGCATTGCTGGATGCATGAGTTGCTTGATGAAGCTAATGGAGACAGTAAAGCCGGATGGGATTCAAGAGGTTGGGGCCAAGGCATTGATTTCATTACTGTCTGTTAAAGCTAACAGGAAAGAATTGGTGAGGGATGAGAAGAGTGTGATGAGGTTGGTGCAGATGCTGGATCCTAAAAACGACGCAGTATCAAAGAAGTTTCCCGTTGCTGTGGTGGCGGCTATAATGGGTGGAGGCAGCCAGAGTTGTAGGAAGAAGCTTGTGGAAGCAGGTGCTTACGGGCATTTGCAAAGATTGGTAGACATGGATGTGGCTGGAGCGAAAAAGGCTCTGCAGAGGCTCTCTGGGAATAGGCTTACGAGCATATTCTCAAGGTCTTGGAGGGATTATTAGTTAACCAACAAATTCCTGCCGTGCCAGGTAAATAAATAGTGTTTTTGGAGTTGGATATTGTCTGTGAATTGTTGATTTATTTATATATCATTGCCATTCGTTACACATTGCTCACAGTATAAAAATGATTATTATTTGCAAGCATTGCAGCTATTTACTTTCCTGAATTGTTAAATAGTTGACTAGCTGAGCTGAGCTGAGCCGAGCAGATTGAGGTGCGTGCTTATTTATGAAATGTGAATTAGGTGAAGTGATCCTTCAAAACCTCTAAGTTTTTGTGAGAAATTGATGTGAAAGAAAGAGTAGTAATTATTTAGACTATGAATAGCATTACATACGCACAGACACCTTCATGTGATTTATTTTCACATAAATTAGTTATCTTTTATATATATAGGCACACCAGGGAGGATAAAGCATTTCACACCCGTTGTTATGATATTTCAAACATAGTCTAGTTTTGGGGCTGGCTGTGCATTGTTTATGATATGATCCATGGTCGATGAAACTTCTAAGTTCATGGAAATGACAGCTGGTGTGTTACTCTAAAGGGTTATTATACTATGTACCACATATATATATATATATAGGTTGAGTTAGTTACGATATTGAAATGCAAATCATATTTCATTCATTTCATACCCGGAAAAGCAAGTGGTTGGTCTTAATTAACAATTAATTTATGTACACAGACAAAAGACAAGTTCACATGATATATATAAGATGGGGACTGGCTGATGTCCAATTTGTTGCAAGCAATATCTGTATTTTATCTGTATGTATGTATGCCATGTGATGTCTTGATTCAATCCAAAATCCTACTGTTCCGTTGGGATTAACTCTGGTCCATCTTTGGTATAAAATAATTGACATGTCTTTTGTGTTAGGTACGATATAATAATATTAATGTTTTTCGTTTCCTAACAGACTGGACCAGAAGCAATTCACATCACAACTTTCTCATCCCTGTGTTGCATTGATCAGAATATATCTTATAAGTTATGATCTTATGTTTTCCGATGCAGGAGACCGATCAAGAACATCCAACAGTCACCCTGCTGCACAGTGAAATGAAGACACAAAACAGGACAGCCGGTATAATACCTTAAACCTTAACATTCCATAGTATTATACTACTTTTTCTGTGCATTTTATGCGAAAAAAGAAAAATAAAAAAAATGGGTTTGTGATCAGACTTGAGAACAAAAGAAAAACCAAGAAGGGTAGGGGGGGTTGTGTCTAATTTATTAGACCATGACATGGATGCAATTTTAGTGAGTATCCCTGTTTCAGAATTCATATATATATATATATATATATAGAGAGAGAGAGAGAGAGATGGTCTCATATATAACAACAGTCTGATTATATATATATATACATATTCATGTATTGAGAGTGAAAGAGATTGTATGTCTTCTTGTTTGGTTGTTTGTCTATGTGATTCATTTTCTTTGTAATGCCTTTTGGTTTGTATAGAAAATCTGGGTTTGTTTCTACTGCTATGTTTATGACTATATATATACTACAAGTGTGTAAATGTTTGTATGTATTTTTATTCGATTAAACCGATGATGCTGTATGCCTAAAGTAATTTATAATTTAGCATGGTGCAAATTGCAAGCACATCGGTGGTGAATGATAGATAGATAGATATTGTATAATCAATTTATGTTAATATACTTAACAACTGACAATGGTCTGTACATATTATTATTCTTCAGCAAAAAAACAATGTGTCAATACAGCCAACCAGCTTTGACGCTGGGGGGTTACTATTTGAATTCATTATTGGGCAGTTTGTGTGGGTAAAAAAATAATATAAGAATTTTCTTGTTCATTTATTTTTATACTAAATTGATGTCATCTAACCTTTTCAATTTCTATAGTGTGGGTGGTTATGAAAAAAAAAATGAACAAATTAGTACTAAATTACTTACGACTATTTATAAATTAAAATAATAAGTATTAATTATAAAGAGTGGGGGATCTTAATTACTAGAAAAAAGATGACACTAATAAAAAAAATTAAAATTTGGAAAGGAAGGTGGATCGGTCCCTGAATACAGCTTACTCACTCTACAAAGATGACCATCCATCAATCAGTACACAATTTTAATTAATATGGTGTGTTAATTAAAATTATATGCTGTATATACATGTGTTGATTACAACTGTATATATATGTAAATAGGACCTTAATTTTTGTGACTTTAATTTTAATAAGAAATCTATGAACACTTTATTTAATTATAAGAATCTATAAAAGCAGAGGTACTGAAGAAGCCCACCCCACCCCCAACCAGCTGTAGGTATGTATATATGTATGTATGTATACATACATAGCTAGCTGTAAAGAGTGAAGCATATGGTTCCTGAGACATTCAGCTTTAATTGACTCTTTTTAATGAGTTGTTTTATTGGCAACCAATATTTATGGGAAATAAATAATTATTTTTAATGGTCATACATTTGTGGGTGTGGGAAATACATGTCATTTTGTATTATTATTTCTTTTCATATCTTACCTATATATATATATTTGGTATTGTGCTTTTTATCTCTTTATGGTTACATTGCCCAAAAGCACAAAAGAAGAAAAAGGAATATTCACATTTGGAATAAAAAACGAACAACTTTGTTCACATTAAAAAAAGAAATAAAAAAGTAGCAAGTAAGTATTTTATTTTTATATCACAATCCTTTTGCTGTATATTCTCCATGCAATATTGTCAAACATTGTGTTAAGAGTTTTAAATTTATATATAGCCCAAAAGTTGTTTTTTATTTACTTTGAATTATACTATTGTTCGTCAGCTCAACTGGAACTTTAGATAGCATTGAGTGGGGTGATAAGATGAGTTCGCGACAATATTGAGTACGGATGATAAGACGAGTTTGGAATAAATTTTGTAGGTCCTCATAAGTTGTCTATCATAAAATTTTGTTTAGAATTCGGCTATTTGATCGATCCACTTACTTCTATTATATCAATATTAATCACTATCCTTTAGATTTTAGAATTAGCTCCAATCGGGCTCAACTTTGCCGTTTTGCTTGGCAGAACCTCTCGGGTTTAAGACTAACTTGAAAAACTTATATTTTTTGTAAGATGAGTTAGGATGTTGAATCTTTAAAATTCAGCACTATATATCATTACAAAAAAAATGACTTTTTGTAGCAGGTAAACTGACCGTAACAATAAATTTGTTACAAAAAGATGTTTTTGTTACAAAATTTGTTAGTTCAAAAAGTTTTAATATTGGTCAACATTTTTTTTTTATTTGTTTCGATTAGTTATCTATAACAACTACATATGAGACAAAATTTCGTACTAACTATATTTGTTACGTAATTCAACCCGTAACAAAAAGAGTAATATTATAATTATTAAAAAGAAGAACATTTTATATTTAATTTTTATAAAATTCAAAATCTAAAAATTATTTGTTTCGGTAAACTATCCATAATATTTACATATAATACAAAATATGGTTGTATATTTATTTGTTACGCAATTCAAGTAGTAACAAAAATTAATATTATATTTATAATATTGCAATTAAAAAAAACTATACATATTTAAAATAATTCAAAAATAAAATAAAGTAAAATAAAAATTAAAAAGCATGTTAACGCTTCTACCGTAAATATCCACATACATAGGATAAATATGATAATTATAGATAAAAATATAAAAAAAAACCTAAATAATTTTTTTTAAAAAAAATGTAAAAGCCTTGTTACGCTTTCACAAATGAGGTATACATAGATACATATATGTTCACATCTACACTTAAAGAAAAAATTGATTTCGCGTAATTCATTTCCACTCTCGCGTACTCCTTCGTCGAACACTGCTCCGTCGTCGCCGCTTCGAGGTAACCCAATAGAGATCTTAACTATGGGGGAAGGGAAATAACAACTGGACTTATATTTTTAATCGCAAGGTATGTTAACAATTTGGAGTGGTTCTAGATTAATTTAGGGTTAGAGAAAATCGTTTTTTTTTTTTGTGTTAGAAGAGGCGTTTTCAATGGTGTTGATTTGTACGAGCTATAGATTTGGATTGGGTTTCTTCTCCATATTAAGCCACTCAAGCTTCAATTCCTATGTATGTGTTGAATTTTTGTTTTTGTTTAAAGTTTTAGATTTTGGTTTAGTTTTTCTTTTAAAAAATAAAAAATTGATTTTTTATCTCCATTTAACAATTTCAGAAGGGTTAATCTAGCTTAGAGGACATCATAGCACCATTCACGGTATGGTTTGTATGCCATTTCTCGGGCGCCTGGTGAACATTGTATCTGACACTAGGTATGGTTTTCATCATTTACGGGTTTATTTAAGTCCAATGAACACAGTGATTAGTTTTCCATTCCTTCAATTTGTATGAGAGCAGTGGTAATGAAACAATAAGATGGCCTTTTGACTTGAAGAATTTGAATGATGAACATTTGTTATTTAAAAATCATTTCAATTGCTACATGATTATCTTAAAACGGTAAATTGATATTTATTACATTTTCTGAACTCTAGTAGCATGGGAGGATATATATCCTCATAAGTAAAGGTTCAATAAACATAACTAATGAAGTTATATCATATGTGGAATGTAAGGTAATATTTCTATAACGTGATAATGGTGGAGTAGAAGTAAGCTACTTGAGTTACTGCATAGTAAAGCAGATCCACACATACAAATGATGTTCATTACTAATATTACTAACTTACTGTATTGTTTGGGTTTCTTATGTTGTTTTAGTAATTGTGTATAATGGCTTATATCTTAGATTATGAACATATTCTATTTTTCCCTGACCTTAGTAGCTGCTAGTTAGATTCTTGTAGAACAACTTAGTAGCTGCTAGTTTTCAAGAAAGTTTTGGTAGTGAATTTTTGTTATTCTTGTAGAACAACTTATTCTAGACTCGATTATTTGGTTAATAACATGTATGGCATGACCAGCATGTGGTTTATTCTTGTAGAACAACTTATTCTAATTCTTTATTTTTTGCTAGCAGATGGTTTATTCTACAATGTATTCTAGTTTACCTGTAATTTTTGTGATGTTTGTGAAATATGAATGAGTGCACCTAAAAAATTGAGAAATCAATCTCTCAATTCCTGGTGCTTGTGTACATATACGATTGATATATTAATGCATAGATTTTGTATAGAGGGGAGCATTTGTGGAGCTCTATAGAGAACTTGGATTGCTCAAAACCTATAGGTATTAAATATATACATACTTATTTATTATTTGATTTTTGCTTGCATAGGTATATTTGATTGTTCAAATGGAAAAAGGATGAACCAAGTTATTCAAATTGATTTAATATATATATATATGTAGTCCGATTTATATTAGAGGTAATGCATATGATTTATGTTTTCTAATTCTCCACTTGTAGCATCCAGAAGCGCACTGTCAGGCTGCGCCCCACCGTCCGGTTGAGAAATTCGGCTCTCTTACCACTTGTCAGTTTTCCTCCTAGGATCGACGATGATCAGTAACCTTTGATCCGAGCAGCAGCCTTTGTAATAAGCATCACGTAGGTTCTGCTCTACAAATTTTTATGCTTTATGTAAATGTTCAATCTTTTGTCTTCACCTTCGCTAATACTACTATTATGTAATTTTATTCATTTAAATCCTATCCAAATAATTCAAAAATAAGTTATAAATGCAACATAGTTAGTGTATTTTGGTTATGCATCACACAATCTATAGCATGTTAATTACTTTGGTGAGAAACCTTTGCTACTTTTCTTGCTTTAGTTTAATTATTAATGAAAACCATGAATGTTGGGAATAAGTAAATGAATGGTAGGAAGATACAATGAATATTCAAGGAAAAGTACATCCTTCATACACCACATCTGCTATCTTCATATCTTTAAGCTACACTGCCTAATGCCCGGTATATGTTTTTATGAATGCATTTTTTTTGGATGTTCATGGTTAATCATATTGTTTGGTTTGTATATGCAGCTCACTCAACATCGTTTACTACAGATATTGATTGCTAGCATGATTTGTTCCACCTTGTACCATTATCCTTTCTTATTATTTGTAACCTAGAATTAGTAATTTCATCATTGCATGAGAATCTTCCATCCTTTGTTATATACATGCAACATATGCAATAAGAAATTTTGAATCTTAGCCTCTAATCTTGCATGTATTTTTCTATTTTGTTGTTAGTTATTTATTGTAATTGCATAGCTTATACTATAATTTACCTTTTAATTAGGAGCTAAAAATCACCTAGCTTATCATTATATCATAATTGGTTATAATCAATCATTTATTCAATTGAAATAATAATGAATTTTCTATGACTGATGGTATCCTAAATATTTGAGAGTTAACTTTCCAACTTCCTAGTTGGATGACCTGTTATATCCATCCCAATATGATAGGGATAGAGATCGCTATGTACAAGGTGATTACCCATTCACATATGGCTATTGCAAGCACAACTCCCAGAAAATGGTGACCACAATTTCTCTTTTTAGCAGTTGTATGGGTTTGCTTGCATTCAACTATAATTTGTGTTGTAATAATTGCTTGACTGACGATCAAAATACTACTAGAAAGTTTGTGGCTTTGTTGGAATAGTTAGAATTAGTTCTGCAAACCTAATCCAGTGTGTTTTAGAACTACTTATTGTTTTAGTGTATAGCAAAGCGTGATCTGGATTGTTTATTGTTTTTATATATATATATATTTTTTTCATTCATCTATTGTGTTATATGGTTTTTCTTTCTTCTCGTCTTACTTTACGATGATTATACTCAAGATTACGACCAATGATTATACTCAAGATGACGACCAATACTCATTGCAGTTGGTTTGCCGCCCCTCATTGCTTCCTCAATGATTCTGCACTCGACGAGCTTGATAGTTCGTAGTTGTCTTTATTCACACGCCTTAAGATTGTATTCCAATTTGATACCAAAGTTATCTATAAGCTATTATTTATTGGATTTGGGGATGGTATGTTATGAGATTGTTAGTTGGTTGTTATGTTGTACGATATGGTGGTATTTTGGGATGCTTTAAAGCACTGTTGATGCCTAATATTCTATTTTGAGCATGACTATGAATGTCGTTGGATTGATGTCGTTTTGTAGGTATGGACAAGGATTCTGGATTAGTTATGATAAAATTATGCTTTCAAGTTATTTGTCACGCAATTGGGTCTGTAAAAAATACTACTTTAGACAATTGCATTTTATTTGTAGCTTCAAAACCCTTATTTGATACAAAGAGTATTTTTTTAGTTATGGACAATGATCGGTAAAAATGGTGTTTTACGGTCGCATGACTTTTGTACCAAATTTTTGTTATGGAAAAATTCGGTAACAAATAGTTCTCTGACAGAACTTTAGTTTTGTAACACAATTTTTGTTAGGGACAAAGTTTCGTCACAAAATATTTTATGACAACATGCCACTTTTGTACCGTGTTTTTTATTACGGACATATGTCGTAACAAATAGTTTTCTGACAAGATTTTAACTTTTGTGCCGTATTATTTGTTACAGATATATGTCGTTCTAAAAATATGATCGATTTTTTTGTTACGTACAAAAAACGTAACAAATACAATTAAAACGTGCTTATTTTGAGGGTTGACCGCCACTTATTTGTTACGAATTTGGTTGCGACAACGACTTTTTGTACCGCGACTTTTAGAAGTTGTCAAAATCCGTAACAAAGTCGACACAAAAGGCTACTTTGCACGAAAATTGAGTTTTCGTTACAAATTTTTAACCGCTACAAAAGGTCAGTTTTTTGGTAGTGATACTTATATTTCCAAACAAAACTTAGTTTAGTTTTACGAAATTATTTCAAATCGTTCACTTTCAAAATTGTGTTAAATTTCGTCATAGTTTCATAAACCTAGCGTTTAATCTCCTGACCGTCCTTATTTTACGATGTTTGACTTACATACACCCAAATTGTGAATGTGTTTCAAAATCTTTATTTCTATACCCCTACACGCACCCAAATTGTAAATGTGTTTCAGAATCTTTATTTCTAAATTCCTGAAATTATAAATATATATATTCCTCTTATATTTAAACTGAAGAAAATTATTGTTCTTCGAGGCTAAATATAAGAAGAATGAGTATATTTATAATTTCAAGGGTTTAGAAATAAAGATTTTGAAACTCATTCGCAGTTGGACGCGTGTAAGTCAAACACCATTAAATAAGGACAATCGATGAAGTTAGAAGCATAATTTATGAAACCGTAAGAAAATCTAACATAGTTTTGGAAATATGAGAAATTTGCACAATTTTGTTAAATCACATGTGATTTTTTTGTAAAATTTTTCCAAATAATTAATTACTACTACAACCATATCATCCATCAATCTCTAACTAAATCTATACAAGAAAGGAAAAAGAAATTAAGAAAGGTAAATAAAGGATAGTACAATGACTTGTCTTATCGGCTAAGGATTGGAAGAGAAAGAAGACATTAGTTAGGATGCTGACTTGGTCAAGTTAACACAATACTAATTTGATCAAGTTAATGTGATAATTTGATCAATTAAACACATCATTTTCAAGCAATCAATATTCAATTATAAGACTGACAATATAATGTTGTTTTAAATAAATGTTTGGGCTGTGAACTTTAAGTTTATATATTGTACTATATTGTATACATATACTCATTGTGTTGAAAATTAATAGTATATTGTGTTATATTATATATATATACATCGTATACTGTCATGTATTATCTACTTTATATGTTTGTGTTCACTTAATTAAATCAATATAATATTAATTTGACTCTATCAACAAAAAGACTAAAGTTGTGAAATAAAATAAGGCCATGCAAATGGAAAGTTTGGAAAAAGTAGGTTTTGATTGGTTTGGAGAATTTTTTGAAACTTTTTTTATTATTCATTTTCATTAAAATTTTTTAAAACATGAGTGAACAAAACTTGCATAATTAGATTCGTTCAAAACTAATGTTTGGTTGTAATTATGATATGAATTCTTTTGTTTGCTCATATTTGTGTCTACCCTAAACCCTTGCACCCTATTGTAGGTCTCATTACTTATTCCCTAACTTTTAGAATTGATTTTGGACAACTTATTAATTCCGTATAATCATTTTTATTTGATAAAAAATTGTTATATTTCTTGTGGAATTCGTATAAAATCGGTATCTCTTTTACGATGTAGGAAAGTGTTTGAAGTTTTAGAATTTTGAAGTTTATATAGTTTGTCTTAGAATTCAATTTCTATTTTTGTTAAAAAAATCTTAAAAGTGAGTCTATGTGATTGTTGTCTTTGTCATTATTAAATAATTGAACTGTTTCATGATTAGAGCTTTGGTTGAATCTCATATTTATTGTGCTCTAGATAATTTATAAATTAAAATGTGCTGATATTGCAATTTAGAGAATAAGTACACTTCAAGGAAATAATTGAAGTGGTTAATTAAAAATTGCAAAGTATGAATATTTTTTTACGAGAATTCAAACCTAAAGAAATCAAATGAGAAAATAAGAAGAATCATCTATAAGATGTAAAGAACCATGAATAAAGGTTACCAGAATAAACACTAAAATAAAAGGTTTTTTAAGAAAAAAGACTTCAAGGGTGTTTAGAAAATATTTTTTCTAAAAGTTTTTTAAATATTTGACCGATCAAAAAATTAATTTAAATTGTGCTAAATGAGTTATTTTGGGTGCAAAAAGAAAAATGGATCTTTTACCTGATCTCTTGTAAATCTCCACTTTTCATGTCTTTGTTTAAATAGACAATTTTGGAGTTTTGAAAGATTTTTTATTTAAATTTATTATTATTTTGAAAATATGTTGAAATATGTTTAGAGAGAAATTTTGGATGATTTTTGAATTTTAATGACTAATTTATAATTGATGTTGATAGGTTATATAAAAATTAAATATTGATTTAATATTTTAGATAAAAATTAAATTAAATTATATAAATATGGTAATAAAATTTTAATAAATATAAATATTATTTTATAGAAAATAAAATTTTACATAATAAAAAAAATTATAAAAATAAAATATTAATTTAACTTTAATACAAATTCATACAAAAATAGGTGTGCTTGTTTTATAAGATTGTTGGAAAAAATTTTTTTTATGTGAATTATAAAAAATTGTATAGAAAGTATAAAAATAGTAAATGTATGTAATGTATAAATATTTTTGAAAAAATTGTGTGTAAAAAAAATTAAAAAGAACAAAGCAAAATAAAAATATAATTATATTATATATATTATTATAACTTGATATGATTTTTGGATGGAAGTACATGGTTGATCACATGATCGACAGCAAATGAGAAAATATTTTAGTAGAATGACGGATGTTGAATAAAAATTCAAAGTAGATAGTGTCGACAAATGAAAAATTAGTTATGTAAACACAGTAATAATTTTTATTTTCTTTGAACGCAAATAACTTTTATAATTTTAAAAAATAAATTTTAAATTATCACAACTACATGCTTGTTTGATCATATAATAATGAGATTATTTGATAGAATACTTACACCTATTTGTTATATCAAATTTAGTAGAATGTGTCACTACTAAAAAAAGGTTTATTTATAACAGATATTTTATCCGTAACAATAGGTCCGGAACAATTGGTAGTTCTCGTAACGAAATTTGTCAGTAACAAATAAAATTTTACTAGGGTTAATATTATGTTTTTTTTTTGTTTCGATGATTTTTCCGTAATAAATACAAATATTATGATATATTGTCATAAGTATATTTGTTAAGCTTGTCTTGTCGGTAACAAAAAAAAAAAATAATTATTTTAAATTACTTTTTTTATAATACAAATATTTGTAAAAAGAAAAGTTAAATAAAATTTAAAAGGATAAATCACATTTTATCCAGGCACGAATTCTCCCAAGCCATAAACATCATTTCACCATCGCAGTACTTATCAAAATTTCGGAATCGATTTCACCCTTCTTCCCGATCTTCTTTCCTTCAGCCGCGCACCATCCCAAATCATTGCCGGTGAGAAGTGTGTTTGTCAGTTCGGCGGTCCGAAGAAATAGGGAGAATCGAGGCGCAGAAACTAGAATCACAAAGTATGCAAACAAATTTGGAGGCCTTACCATCAATTTAGGGTTTGGACGAAATGAAATTTTTTAGAGTTATAGGAAGCGTTTTCATTGTTTTGATTTGTAGGAGCTACGGATTTGTTGATGGCCTTCTTCTCCTCCACGGTTCCACCCCGATTTGATTCAAAGTTTAGTTATGTTACTTGGTTTTCAAGTTAGAAGAATAGAATTTTTGTATACTCTATTGCGTAATTAGAGACGTGGAACTTGGACCGTGTTTGTAGTGTAGATTTCATCGTTCCTATTGAGATACTAAACGCGATTTCATTAATTAGGGGAAAAATGTGGCTTTTAGTTTGTTTTCTTATGATTCTCAAGTTTAGATAAAAGATGGCTTTGAAGAAACATATCTGAATTTTTGTTTCAAATTGTATCTGCACCAACTTATCCTAATGGGAATCTTAGGGACTATTAGTGCTGAGCGTAAGAACCAAATGTATACAGTTTCAATTTCCTCTTCTTACTTATATGGCTCTAATATACAATCAATATAACTTTTGCTTGTTTAGATGCATTTTGAGAAATTTGAGTGTGCAAGTAGTGTGTCATGACTCCTATTGCTTTTTTGTATGGTAAATATATTTGATTTGATATAAGATATAACACGAAAAATCTATTTGATTGGCTGCAACTCA